GAGAGCTCGCGGCAGCGACACCTACCGTACATAAATAGATCCTGTCCCGCACTCTTCCACTTTGGGTGCTGTTGCAGGCCCATCGGGCAAACCCGATTGCGATCTGTGATCAGCGAAATCTGCTGTTTTCCGGGCCTAGGTGCACCCTCCCAATTTGGTATGTTTGGGGCCCCGACAATTCATCACACAGACACACCTGCAGTCGTAAGGATGTCATATATTCGTGCAATATATCAGTGTACAGTACTGTGCTGAGTGCTCCAGAATGAGCACCAGCAAGGTTCCTCGCGAGCAGCCCCGCAAGCCCGGCCTCGACGTCCTCCGCACGCTTCATCCCGCCCTTGCGCTCCTCCACGACCTGCATGACACGCTCGGGGACCTGCGGCAGCAGCCAAGCATGCCCGCGGCGTGCGCGAAGGGGCCCGTGCGTGGCAGTGAGGTGGTGAATGCAGCCACGGGCCCATCAGGAAGTTGAGCTGTGTGGAGGTTGTCGAACACGAGTGACTGTGTATGCGGGACAGCGAAGGGCTAGAGGTTGCAAGCCGCCGCAGCTGGGATGGTGGGTAGGCCTGATCTGCATGCACCACATCGACTTTATCGAACCCGCGTCGATGCGTTCCGCGCTGTGTTCGCCAAGCTCGGGCTCGCGGGCGTGGGCGACGGCTCGCAGGCTCCCGGGGCACCAGGTGCAGCGCGCACACAGCCTCCCACGGAGGTTGAAAAACGCGATAACCAACATGTTAGCAGTAGAGTTTGGGAAGAGGAGGAGCGGACGTACGGGCAACACATGCGACGCGCGGCGCACACCGCCGTCGACGAACAGCTGGAACTTCTCGTTCGGAAACGCAAGCCCGCGGCGGGCCTTCAGTTCTCGGACGACCTCGACCAGTGTCTCCACACCAGATCGCGAGGAACTCGAGCTGCCGACCACCGTGGTTCGAGAGCAGTCGGCGCCGTCAATGATCACGGCACACATGACTCTGCCCGTGTAGTCCGCAGGGACTCTGCTGGTCGATACGCTGCTGTTCGCGTTTGTCAACACGCCGCCGTTTGAAGCGGCCTCATTAGTTCGTGCCTGCTGACACACAATTCGTGCTGGTTCACACGCACGCCGTTGTTTGTGTTGGTCGATGTGCTACCGTTCATGCTGGTCCGAGGGTCGGTCTGCGTCTTCCGTGAAGAGATGGGCATCAAAGCTAGATGGTAGAGGAGGAGTAGCACGCGCAGGTGAGGTGAGCCTTGCGGGCGCCCCCGTAAACCCAACATTTGGTTCTATTTGTTGCCTCGCCGAATTGGGAAAACCCGATGTTCTCGGGCTGTTCCTGGCCAATCACAACGCGTTTAAAGGTCCTACTTAGGCCTGCAACATACCAGTGATTCGTGTTCACGACGTTTCCGCACTCTGTCCATGTATTATATGCTGCAGTAGGGATTAGATACATGTTTGGTAGCATATATTACAACAGATGAGATGTAGCACAACATTCTCGTGTACAATAGGGATTGTCTTGTGTACTGTACTCGTTCTCAGCCGAGTCTCGAGTCGTAACGGGTGCTGCGGCGCGTTACATACTGGACTCGATAATGACACAGTCGTTGTATGTATAAAATATATTCTGATCGTCATTGCATTTACCAACATGCCATTCCAGTTCGTTGAACATTATACATTGCACGCGAACGCAGTGTTTTCCGGATTCAACAAATCAATTTCAGACTAATCTATTCCAAGTGCGTGCGCCCGGCCTGCCCACCTTGCCCACCGTCACGGTCACCCTCTCCTCGCTCACGCGCCCATCTTCGTTCGTTGGCCGTGCTTGCGTGCTGGGCATTCGCCCTGCACGCTCGCGGTCGTCGTGCGTGTAGTGCTCATCCACACTCTGGGCCCGCTCGCTTTCCCTCTCGCCCGCTTTCCCTCTCGCCCGCCTGCCCTCTCGCTCGCCCATCCACCCGCTTTCCTGCGCACCTGCTGGTCCCTTGCCTGCCCGCTCACCTCATTGCCTGCTCGCCTCCTTGTCCGCTTGTCCGCCCGTTCTGGACCACCCGCCAGCTCGTCCGCTTGCCCTCTCGCTCGCCCGCCTGCCCTCCCGCCTGCCCTCCCGCTCGTCCATCTGCTCGCCTGCCCGCGCGCCGATCTGCCCGCCTGCTCACCCGTCTGCGTCTGCATCCGTCGGCTGTGTCTGCGTGCCGGGCGTTCGCCCGGCACGCTCGCGGTGGGCGTGTGCTGTCGCCTGTTCACTTGCCACTCTCCAACCCGTCCGCTTGTCTGTCGGATGTCCGTCTTCCTACCCGCCCGTTTTCCTACCCGCCCGTCTTCCTGCCCACCGGTCTGCCCGTCCGTCTTCCTGCCCGACAGTCCGCCTGCCCGTCCTTCCGCCAGCCCGCCAGCCCGCCAGCCCGCTCGCCCGCTCGCCCGCTCCCGCTCGTGCCCGTCGTCCTTCCGCCGGCTGCGTTTTCACGCGGGGCATTAGCCCTACGCGCTCGCGGTCGACGAGTGTGCTGTACTGCACGTCGCCGCGTCCTGTGGCTACGGTCAGCTCGCTCGCTCGTGTGCGTCTGCGCTCACCTCGATGTCAGCGTCGGCTACTCGTCGTGCCCGCTGTGTTCTAACGACGCCGGTGACCGACGCGGGGTGGTGGCCAGTGGAGGTCGTAAACGGCGGGCGGAACCGCTCGCCGCTCGCTCGGCTCGATGCGAGCTCCCGGGTTTGGCCGAAACCGACGCCACGCAGCGGGCAGGGCAGGGCGGCAGGGGATCCGAGATCGTACCTGATCTCAGATGCGCTGACCCCGATGTCCATCCATATGGGGTATTAGCCTTGCATCGCGCGCCAGTGGTACCGCCCCGCCGGGGACGAAGGGACCAGGCGCCCGGGGTAGCTGCCATATCAGGTAACGACCGACGGCGCTTCGTTCATACATGACGGCGCCTCGCTCATACATGAGCGAGTGGTAGCTCGTGTATGAGAATGGCTGCAGGTAAGTACTGGAGTTTATGTATGATCACTCCGTGCTCACTACAAGGATATTATACAAACTTATGCCTATATGGCCTGGTTGAGCGAGAGCCGACTGAAAACCACAAACAGAGGTTCCGCGCCAGACATGGACGAGCGCTCAATTGTTTTGGAAGAGACCGAGGCGGCAGCATCTGGCCTGTCCAACGGTCCGCCAGAAGTGGCCGCAGCCGAGCCCATCGCCCAGCCTCACTCTCCAACCCCCACGGTCTCTGAGATGGCGCCTTTGGGGGCGCGGGTGGAGAGCGCCTCTCCTCCGGAGTCAACAAAAGACCTCGGTCGAAAGCCTCCGTCGCGGAAGCGCAACAAGCCGGACATTGACAATCCCGCATCCTCGAGCAAGCCCCCGTCTAAACGGCGAAGGACGAGTCCAGTCGAGGCCCCCACGGACGGTGGCAGGCAATCCAGCCGGTTGAAGGCCGGGGGCCCGCAGCTTCGGGAGAAGCAGAGGGCGAAGACGCTTGAAGCGGCGGGTCGTGCATGATGGCAGTCTTATGTAGTTCGCAGTCCATACGCGCAATGTCATTTCATTTAGACGAGTCAGAGTACAACAACCTATCGACGAATCAAAACATTACAGAGGTACATTGTTTCATTGTCCGGGTCACTCGCTGATGTCCATTGCCTTCACGCCACATTCGTCGGCCTCTCCCTTCGCTCGATCGCACGCCTCTCCCCCGAAGGCCCGGCCTCGTGACTCGATGGACCCGCCTCTCCCCCGCATGGACCTGACGCAGCCTCGATTGCATGCTCGGGCGCATGCTTGGGTGTAGCGTCGACTTGGATGTCCTGCTCCATCTCCTCAGACGCGCCAACCTTGGTGCTCGCTTCCTCCGCCTTTTCGCCGGCTCCGGAGGCGACAATGTTGGTCTCTTGCCCGACCGGCTGTGCCTCAGCCGTGGGCAGCGCCGTCGGTTCCTCAACAATGGCCTCCAGACCGTCCGTCTTCTCGATGGTTGAGGACGTGGGACGGAGGAAAGGTGACGAGTCCTGACGCTCCGAGGGTTGGTCAGAGCCATATCCCGTGAGGCCTGCGAGAAGGGCTGGACGAACAACAGGGCGAGCTGGGGTCCTCGTCCGGAGTGCGGCATCCTTCGCAAGCCGCACAGGACGCACTTCGTCGTTCGCCCCATGCGCCGGGGAAGCGATGGGAGCGCGGCGGCGAGGAAGAGGCGGGGCTGCGTTGCCGTCATCGCCGGGGGATTGCATGGGAGGGACCGCCCAGCGCGGCATGACTCCGGGGTAGGGGACCGGAGCCGGCTTGGGCTCAGGCTGCTCCGGTTTGCCCTGCAAAAGTTTGAATGCGAGCCCGGTGTGCATGTCCTCAATGCGGCGAATGCTCTCGTCCATCCCATGCCTCACCGCCTTCACGGTCATTTCGCCCCACGTCTTGAGCTCCTCCGCTGCCTTGAGCCGCTTCTCCATTGACTCCCGGGAGGCGGAGAGGTCGGCAAGACGCGCCTCGACTCCATCGAGGCGGTCTGCAGTCGTCCTGAACTCGTTACGCAGCTGCCGAAGCTCCCTGAGGACCGCACCGTTGGAAGACCCACCCATGGCCTTGAGTTCTTCGACCTCCAGCTTCATGGCCTTCACCTCCTCGACCGCCTGAAAGACGACGTGGGCCTGATCAGCGAAAACGCCTGACCAGAGGCCAGACATTATGCCGAACGTTTTGCTGCACGGCCCCCTATGGTCGGTGACAATGTTGCGCATGCCGGTGATCTCGGCGTCGACTCTGGCCTTCCGCTCAGCCAACGTGATGGGGGGGCCTGAAGTCCGCAATGGCGAGGCGGGCATCGGACTGGCCGAGCGGGACGGCAGATGAGGCGACGGCCAACGAGTGGGAGGGGATGGTGATTCACTCTCGCTGAATGGAGGCGACCGCCCCTCATCGTCGCTGATGGATATCACGGAGGCCTCGTCGAGCTCCCGGAACCTCTTCTGGATTTGAGCCGGCTTCTTGCCCGCGGCGCGCTCGGAGAGGACGGAAACCTGTGTCAAAATGAGAACAAAGCACACACGCCGAGGGGTAAGGCTCACCTTGCGGGGGGCCGGGAGAGGCGCATGCGCCTGAATGGGCTCCTCAACGCGGGCCTCGACCATTTCCACGTCTTCATCCTCCATTTCCTCCTCGGCATCCACGGCCTCTTCCTCAGTCTCAGGCACGACCTCATCCTCACTGTCCGCCACGTTGGGCGAAGACGCCTCTTCGACGGCCTGCGGACTATTCTTGGCGGGAGACCGCTTCTGCGGACCGGATGCCGCACGCTTCAGCTCGCGTTCGCTTTCCACTTCAATCTCGCCTTCGCCTTTTTTCCCGAGCTGAGGAGGGTCCGCGAGCGTCCCTTTCTTTTTCGCGGCCTGACGCCTCTCCACCCAGTCAACCAGGGAAGCCGCGACGTCGTGCTCTGTGCCGTCCCACGTTTCCAGGTCTTCCACCCACTGCTGGTCTTTCCCATTCCAAATTGCGACGTCGGGGTAGATCTTGCCTTCAGCCTTCAGCTTCGCAACCCGCGCCCGCCATTTGCCCGCAAGCACGCCCGCGAAGGCGTTCTTGAACACCGATCCGTCATGCATGTGGCGAGGGACGAGCGAGCACGGGACCTTCCCGACTTTGCACGGCAAGCACCGGGCAGCCACGGACGTTTGGCTCGAGTCCTTCTTGTTCTTCTCGACCAGAAACTGGCACTTCTTGCCGAGATGCTCGCAACGGTCGCATGAGACAGGCTGTGAGAATGAGTACGGGTCAAAACGGCAAAAACGACGCAACTCACAGGGTCAATGCGGTCGCCGACCGTCCAATCTTCCTCCGGCTCCTCCTCAGAGCTTGCTCCCTTCGAATCCTGCCGTTTGTCTCGGGATGACGACCTCCTCTGCGGCTTCTCATCCTCCTCCAAACGCGAGGCCTTTCCGACAGATTTGAGCGGCTTGCCCGGCTCCGTGTCATTCCGGCCAACGCCTTTCACCTGAGCGGTCTTTGCCCGACTCTTGGAGTCGGAGCTCGACCTCGTCTCCCTTCTTGCAACCGTGGAAGGAACGTTGCCGGTCTGCCGTGAATTCGATGTTTCCACCGCTCGTACGGTGGCCTCTTTCTTGCCCTTCGGGCCGTCGCGAGTGCCTTCGTCGACCTTCGCATCTGGCGACTCGCCCTTTGCGGACGGTTCTAGCGGCTCGTCCACATCCGAGTCCACGATGAACTCCTCCGACTTGATCTTCCGCTTCGGGGCCCTTCTACCGCCTCCGCCTTTCTTGCTGCCGCCGGCTTGCTCCGGATTAGGCCGTTTACGCTTGCTGACCTGCTCCTCCTCGGCGGGCTCTTCTTGCGCAGCTGGATCCACAAAGCGCGTCCGCTTCTTTGTGGCTGGGGTGGCCGCCCCTACGAGATCAGATGCACTGGTTAGTCGCGTGCTGTGTGCGTCGCTTCAGCACTTACGTTTGGACGGTCCGGCCTCTGGCTCGCCATCCGGGTCTGCTAATTCATCAATGCCTGCCATCACAGATCTGGCAACCTGCTGACCTTGCCTCCACCAGCTTTCAGCACGCGCGGCAGGCCCTGAGATATCCATCTCCTCGATTATCGCGGCAGGGATGAGGCGTCCTAGAGGCGCCAGGTTCGAGTGGATCAACGCGTCGATCTGATCGAGGGTGCACGGCGTCGGGGCGAGAAGGCACTCGCATGCCATTGCAAGCGACCTCGGCACCCGCAGGGTCTCCACCGCCGCCGCAGCACTCATGGCGGGCCATTGACGCTCCTGCAATGATTCAATCAGTCACTTAATTGGCCGTCCACGGCCTCTTGCGTTTCACGGGCTTACAGTTTCCTTTTTCAGCGCAATCCAGGCGGCATGGCGCTCCGCGGGGGGCGCCCGCAGGGCCGCCAGGAGGCGCCCCGTAAGATGCAGCACTTCTTCCCGCGTAATCGGCAAGGGGGCAGCGCCCGCATTGGCGCTAGCCGGTGGCTGGGTGGCGCCAGACTTGGCGCCGTTTGCGGCCGCAGCGCGACGAGACATTGAGTCGGGGGGATGGCGGGGAGTGGCACACAGTTCGCAGAGGCGACGGAGGGCGATAAGTACGGAGTCAAGCCACGATGGTATGACAAAGTCCGTCGAGCGCTCGATCGCCGGAGCTGTCATGTGACGGCATCCCACGCCACAACTATATCAAGCGATTCCGAACGCCACGGATAAGTCCCACAACAAGACCGCCATCATCAGCGCCTCTTTACTAACGGGTAAGCTCTCAAGTCTTTGCCTCGTGTGTCTTGACGAACTGACTCTGGCTCACAGCAAGCAACCTCCAGACATGGCCCCGATTAGAACGGGCAGAACAAGGGGTGCGGCCTCATACGGTGAGTACGTCGTCCATGAAATCCACGCCGAACTCAGATCGAGGCCAGAGCCGACCGGTGTTTTCGCGCCTCTCCCGCCACCCCGCGCTGTAGGGGAGCCGCTTTCCGCGCAACGAGCGGCGTCCGAGCCTCTGCCAGAGACGGAATCCCCTTTTCAGCCGCTGATGTGCCCGCGAGCTATCGCGCTGCCGCTCACGCCTCCTCGCGCTGCCGCCGAGCCGCTGCAGTCCGCGCACACGATGTTCCAACCCCTCAAGACCCCAAGGACCATATTTGAGCCGTTGAAGTCGCCGCCGACAATCTTCAAGCCACTGACGCCGCCTCGAGTCAGATTCCAGCCACTAAGTTCGCCGCGCGGATTGGAAGGGCCTGGGAATCCGCCCCACGTGCTTCTCTCGCCTTTGTCTTTGCCTGCCGCGACCCCCACTCCGCCTTTCTCGCCCCTTCGCTCTCTTCGCTCGCTTGCAGATGCCCTCCCGCCGATGGATGGGATTGCCCCGCTTCTCCCTGCGCGGGAGCCAATTGCCCAGCCCCTCCCACCGCCTGCCATTCCGCGGTCGCCTCCGCCTTCGCCTGACGCCTTCGCATCGCATGGCCCGAACCCCCTCGGCGTCGATGAGGTGCCCCCTTGGGCCCGTGATGCGTTCGACAACGCGCCAGTCGAACATGGCAGTTCCCGACGTCGGTCTCTTAGACCGCGCAAGCACAGATACTTTGTGGTGAGTGTCACCCTCTTCTGTTTGCCTCTTCTCACCTGATGATGCCATCCGTAGAGGTACCTGGATGATGGCGGGATTTTGGAGGCGTTCGCCCTCGGCGACCCAAGTACAGGTGCGTGGCCTAGTCCTCTGTTTGAACTCAAACTGACTGCTTTTAGGGCCGTACTATTGCCGGTCTGACTCCTTCACCGACGGTCCGGCCCCGTTGAATCAGGGGCCGATCCTCAGGGTCCGCGGCAAGCTGTTTTGGGACGTCGAGGCCGTCGTGGGTCACCGGGCCGTCAGACGTGGCAAGAGACCGGCATACGAGATCCTCATCAAGTGGGCGGGCTGGACTGAGCCGACCTGGGTGCCGGAGTCCCATGTCGCCGGCCTCCCTCTCTATCAGGAGTATTGGCGGAGGACGGGCCCCTATTAGCCGTAGCATACACAACACCCATTCCTGTATTAAACACATCTTGGCTCCTTTGTAATGCATCTGGTTTGGCCCACTGTCTCGCGGACTTGACGCAACCTGGCATCCTGGCATCGAGCCCAACCTCAACCTGAAGGCCGTCGCGCTCACCAAGGGTAGAAGTCGCGACATACGTACTTAAACGGCTTAGGCGACACTTAAGAAAATGACGGCACAGTGGCGACTCTTGATGCGCACCGCATAACCTAAGCAAAGGCCACTGACGCGGCCTACAAAAGACTTATTGAAGACAGGCGAAGACGGCTTATATTGCAATACTGTACGCTACGTCGGCCGCCCCAATACCTGCATCCAGCAGCCGCCTCGAACCAACCGACCGCTCAGGAGTCAGCCTACGCCGCTCTCAGGAACAAACCGACCGCCTCATGCCCAACCGACCGCTCCTTACGCCCAACCGACCACTAGTGACGTCCAGCCGACGTCCTTGGAGCCCCACCCGACCCGGCCAGGAAATAAGACGTCCACACCGGCCGACCAATAGGATGGGCATACAGCCGATCCTCGGCTGCCGCATGCCCATAGACCGCATATGGACCGTCGGCCGCCATCGGCTCGCTCTATACTATAGGGCTAATGTACACCTCGGCTACCCTATGGTCATAGGGTAAAGGCGCTGCCTGGTGTGCTCCCTTATGAGTTCTGGTCGACGATGCAGACACTGCATAACCCGCATGCAACCGGGAACCAGCAAGGCTTCGACAGTTTCGCACTACTGCGGCTCGCTTTCGAGGACCTCGACACCTATGGGCCGGCGACGGACTCACGCTTCAATGAAGGGTGGATGTGCCCGATCTACAAAAAGGGCGACCGCCGCGAAATCGCCAACTACCGCCCAATCACACTTCTAAACGCCGACTACAAAGTGTACACACGGATCCAGGCGTCACGACTAGGACCCCTAGCATCCCGCCTCATCCATACGGACCAAGCCGGCTTCCTCCCAGGACGACACATAGAGGACCAAACGCAGCTGTGTCGATCGATGGTCAACTACGCCGAGGCGCTAGAGGAGGACGGCGCCATCGTGGCGCTCGACCAGGAGAAAGCGTACGATCGCATCGCACACGACTACCTGTGGCAAGTCCTACGTGCCTTTGGCCTGCCAGCGGAATGGATAACGAGAATCCGCAACCTCTACAAAGGAGCCACCACCATCGTCATCATCAACGGCGAGTCCAGCAAGGCATTCCTGGTTATCAGGGGCGTACGACAAGGAGACCCCCTCTCTTGCCTCCTCTTCGACCTCGCCATCGAACCACTGGCATGCATGATACGACGCTCTGCCCTGCGGGGATTCACCATCCCTGGAATCGCCGATAGACTGGTGACCTCCCTCTTCGCAGATGACACCTCCACCTACCTCTCCAAGCACGACCGGTGGTCCGACCTCTGGAAGATCCTACGGTCGTGGTGCAAAGCTTCCAGGGCCAAATTTAACGACGGGAAGACCGAAGTCATCCCTGTTGGCTCGCCCGAATATAGGGCGGCCCTCACAGCGACCCGCGTGCTCAACCCCGCCGACCCGGACGACCGAATACCGGTGGACGTCCACCTAGCCCAGGACGGTGAGGCGGTGCGAATCCTTGGGGCCTGGATCGGCAACCGGACCGACGGAGTGGCGATTTGGGCCCCAACCCTACAAAAAGTCCGGTCCTTCCTCGAACGGTGGGGGCGCTGCCACCCCACCCTGCGAGGGAAGAAGAGCATTGTCCAAATGGGCCCTGGAGGAATGACGCAATACCTCGCCAAAGTCCAGGGGATGCCCCGCGCGACTGAGAGAGAACTCGAGGCTATCATACGTGACTTTGTATGGGACGGATCGCGACCCATGATCAGCCTTGACACCCTGCACCGGCCCACCAATGAAGGTGGCATAGGCCTCCTCGACATACGAGCAAGGAATGAAGCCATCGAACTCACGTGGATCCGCAGATACCTGGACCTGACGGATCTCCGCCCCGCATGGGCTTTCGTATGTGATGCCATCCTCAACGCTTTTGTGACGGGCGACGCCGGCGCGATACGACCGAAAGCCCAAATCAATACCTTCCTCCAGAGCTGGAACCCGGCACTCGACAGCCGGTCAGGCCTGCCGTACTGGCTCAAACGAATGCTTACTGTCGCAAAGAAGTATAACGTGAGTTTTGCCGCGATCAAACTGGACAGGCCACTGAAAGGCCAGCTACCGATCTGGTACCACCTCGGCGCGGACGCGAAGCTCCGCAGACTTAACAACACGCAGACCAGCGACTGCCTGAGGGACAACCATGGGGTGAAGACCCTGGCCGACGTACAGCGAGTGCTCCAGGACCACGAGGAAGCGCTGTCGAGAGGGGTCGACGACTGCGTGTGCGATGAGTGTCAGCACGATAGGGGACGGGGATGCAGCCACCCCATCAACTGCCGGCACGCCGCCAGACGGCTCCTGCAGCTTGTCCGCCCCAAATGGCACCCGGATTTCTCCCCGGTGAACGACGGCCTGACCCTGACGAGGCGACGCCTGGACCGCAACGCCAACGCCCTCGAGTCGGACGGACAGGTGGTCTTCGATCCGACCGTGACCTCGAGAGGCAACCTGTCCGAGGCGTTCCGGGCCTTCGTCCACCCGACGGTACATGACTCGCCGCCAGCCATCAGAAGGCCCAGAGGGAGAGCGGTACCAGGAGAAAGCACGACAGTCTTCATTCTGTCACGGAAACACGCCCTCATCCACCGAGAAGGCGAACACGAGCACCCCGGTGTCGTGGGTATGGCATTCTTCGGATACAACGACCCACGCAATGCCCTCCTGACGACCCAGACCCCGGAGAACGCGTACCACGCCACCCTAGGCGAAGCCGTGGCCGCCCTATACGCGGCGCAGAGGACCCCGCGCGACGTGCCACTGCACCTGGTAAGTACCTCCCCCTTCCTCACCAAGGCCATCACGACCAAACTGGCGGGATGGGAAGACGGGGGATGGATAGGGGTGCCCCACGCCGACTACCTTGCCGCGCTAGCGAACCACCTTAGACAACGGTGTGCGGTGACGACCGTCCGCCATGCCTCGACTCCCTGGGAGTGGAAGGCCATAGACTGGATCAGAGACCGTGCGTGCCCGCTCTTACTCAATCACCCTCTCGAAGTGGTGCGGCCAACCTCTAACCCCTCCTTCCGCCTGAGTGGAGCCCGCCTCGCGTCGCTCACGCAGGCTACGGCGTACAAGGGCATCCTCGCCACCCGACGCCCGCCGGCTCGGCAGGGGACCGCCCGCAACGTGGCCCTAGCCCTTGCCGCGCTCGCGCCCCGCCAGCAGCGCAGCAGCGAAGAACTGTGGACGAGCCTACGGCACAAAGACATCAGGCACCAGGTCTCGGACTTCCTGTGGAAGACCCTCCACTCCGCGCTCCGCGTAGGACACTTCTGGGCTCACATCCCCCAGTACAAAGACCGGGCGTCCTGTACGAACTGCCGCTGCGAAGAATCCATCGAGCACATCCTTCTCGAGTGCACCGCGGTGGGGCAACAGCAAGTCTGGACGATGGTGGAGGCGCTTTGGCTGAAAACGGGGCTCGCCTGGCCCGGCATGTCCCTCGGGACGCTGCTCACGCTCGGCACGAAAACATGGACGAACCCCGGGTCAAAACGACGACGGGAAGGAGCTTCAAGGCTCTGGCGCATCCTCGTGTCAGAATCCGCGTACCTCGTCTGGAAACTACGGTGCGAGAGAGTTATTGGCCACGACGATTCCCCCGACTGGCAGCACCACGAGCTCACTGTCCAACGACGATGGCACGCAGCCATCGACGCCCGCCTCCAATTGGACATTGCCTCCACCAGGCACTACCTGGGAGGACGTACACAGAAGTCCGACGTAGTACTACGTACATGGAATAAAGTCTTGGAGGACGAGATCGCGCTGCCAGATGACTGGACGCGCTTCGGGTTTTTAGTGGGTATTGCTCCAGTACGGCTACGTGAACACGACCCCGGTTGAGTAGAGTCCCACACTGGTCCGAAACGACCGTGCGTAAAGGCATTTTTCTCCCTGGATGATCAAGCGGGACACCCGCGAACTGGCTGGAGTGGTGGGCTGGACCGATAGTCCCGTGCCATTACTCTGTTTAAGCCATCCAAAAAAAAGAAACGGAGACAACAAATGTTACGCACCCCTTGATCGCATCTAAAATGGGCCGGTTAATGCCAGTATAGCTGTTTGTGACAGGGTGAGCCGACTCGTTCATATTGGTGTCCGATGGTGTGATGTCCCAATCATCTTCGTCCATGCGTGAGAAGTGCTTGTTGATCGCACTCCAGAACCACGGATGTGGTTTCTTATCTGCAAGCCAATCTGGACAATTGAGGTCGCCAACTTCTCGGAGTACGACAACAGGAATGATGCCAACATACCTCTGATTGCCTTGTGCGATGACTTCTCACACCATTCAATGAAGTCATTCAGTTCGTCACGGGTCCGGAGATTGGGTAGTTGTCGCATGCGGTCCATAACATCTTGTGGACAGCCCTTCCGGGCAAGCTCATCAAAGTTACTGCGCGTGCATGACATAGCGTGAGTTCCATTCTCAGCTGATATCAGTGAAGCTCACCGTTCCAAGTGTACAAGACATGTCTTTAGAATATACTGAATTATCTCCTTCGGGTCCGTGACATTGATTCCACTAGTACTGGGGTCGTTCCGGTTTACAAGGTCACGTCCACAGCCGATTGCTTGTGGTTTACTGCCATCAACAACGAGCGCACGAAGGCCTTCGCCATGTAGAAACTTGAACTTCACCGGATGACCAGTGATTGACTCGATGGTATTCCACAGGCCGCTCCACATACGGTAGAATGCCTCCTCCGTCTCGTGAGTGCAATAGATACGAGCATACGTCACACCTGAAGTGTGTGATTAATCGCAATGGACACGGAATGACTTCGACAGGAAAGACATACGCATGTTTAGTGCTTCATCCCAGTATGTCGCCTCCCATTCTTTATGTTGACCATGCACACGCTTATACGTGTTGTCGTGAAGGCTCGCCAGCGCATTGTGAACACGTTCAGCAAGCACTGGGTGTGCAGTGATGATCATACTGATACCTTGATCAGCGCTGACCGAGTGTACATAGCGTCGATCCTTCGGTTTCTGCTGCTCGGCGAGGTAATATGCCATTACACCTGTGGGAAACACGCTGCCATGAACCACTATTCGAGATGCAAATACGGGTAAGTCACCTTCCATGCCGTTTCCATGCGGTGCCTCTTTCGTCTTGATGGCCTTGAGAAGCATGCGCTTGTTCCGTGGCACTCCGAGCGATGGATCAAACTCAGACGGAACATGACCACCGAGCAACTCGTGTGTGCTTTGGGCTAGAAATCGAGAGACATGTTTAGAGGCTTACTCTACATTGAATACAAATACAGATTATAGCATACCCCGGTCCACCTTTCCTACTGTTACCCCGTCATGGCCGAGGGTGGCCGCAGCAGCCGCATATAGGTCCCGTGCTTCACGAGGCATCTTCGTCGGCTCAGGCGGCGGATGGTTATGCGGCTTCTTGAGGTAGACAATGGCTCGCTTATCATTCAGATTGTCTGGGAACCAAATGCTGATCTCCGCGTTGCACGGACGATGCACCAGACGACCTTCTTCAGGTCTGCAGGTCCCTGGAAGGTCACCTTCGACAAGATGAACGTAGTCTAGTACGGATTATTAGAGATTTTGGAGAGTCAAAACAGTGGGATACGAGACGTACAGCACATCTTGTTTCCTTTCGCCCCTCGCCGAGGAATCGTGATGAGCCCACACCGTGACGTCTTCTCCACGAGATCAGTGTGTGGAGCCTTGAACACACCGTCATTTTCAAATAACTCCCGGACGTGGCGTTCATTCACATCTCGTGGTATGGTCTTGAATCGGTGTTTACCATTACCATCCTTGGACCAGAACTTTGAGCACCCAATGAAACCAGCCTTGCCGTCGTAGTTCAACTTGATCTGCAGGGTTGTCAGGGCCCAAACCAAGATATGCCATGCCTGAATTGAATACATACATTCTTGAACTGACGATACACAGCGACACCGTCACAGTTGCTGCCATCGAAAGGGCATTGATCACGCTGCATTTCAAGGTAGAATCTGCATCGTTGATGAGTCACCAACAACACGAGCACGGGCAATGAGATATGGAAAACGTACGATGCCGCTTTCATTACACCAGAACTGCCTTGTGCAATGTTGACTTGCTGCGTGAGATCCCAGAAGTCCCGTCGGGATTCAGTATCTCCAGAGTACCGCTCAAAGTTGTCCACGAGGTCCTCATCTATGTGATCGCAATGGTAGGACCCCTGGCATCGATGGTAGACATAGCGGCAGTCGACGTTTCCGAGGACTGGTACATTCACAAGCTTCTTCTTCGATCCACCTGTGCCGTCGCCCCATGCATCGAGATCCTGTAGAAGATTCAGCAAATGATCCAGTACTGCCAAAGGACGTCACAAACCTGGGACTTGATGATACCTGCCATGGAAAGCAGTTTACCGCTGGCATCGAGCCACTTCTTCGGATCATCGTCGCTGAGATCAAGACGGTATGCAACCGACCCCTCATCGCGTGGCACAGTCCAGGTGCGAGGGACCTTCTTCAAATCCACGATTTCTGCAACTTTACGCTGCCGCGTGATCATGAAAGAGGTAGCCGTGTTACGCCGGTGTGTGACGCTCGAACTTGCAGCGCCAGCGCCTCCTTGAGGCTCTGCATGATGTAGTGTGCGCAGCCTCTTGTAGTGGTGCGGAGTGCGATCATCCCGATCGGAGGCATCGACGTCAATGATCTCAACATCCGAATCACGCTCTCGTTTGACGCGAGCGGTGGGCGGATGCTGTGGTCGGGATGCCCCAGCGACATCAAGGTCAGAGTCGTCTGAGATGTCTATAATGTCTGATGACACTGTCTGGAATGAGAGACGCGGGCTGGTAATTTCGACCTTGCTTGACCGCAAGGCAGCATTGCCATGCTGCTTGCGGTCAGGCGAGCTCGAGACAGAGCCCGTAAACCCCATGTGTGCCTTGCCTTTGCCCAGAGAGCGTCGTGAAATCTGCTGGTGCACACTCATATGGTGTTCATCCACGGGTGCAGTCAACAATGTCAGATCCTCGTTGAACGGGGAGGACGATCGCAGGTCCGAGTCGAACGGAGGAGACGATGGAGGCAGTTCATCATCTGTGAATGGTGTGCTGATTGATGGTGATCCGGGGTGTTCAAAGACTGAAGGACGTGGTTCGGAGGAACACTTGTCAGACCCGGCATTGCGTGGATAAATAATGGTCTGTACCTGTCTGACTCGCTGGGACATCATCCCATACAACATCGTGTGGCCGCCGAGAGGACACAGGTAAGCGTGAGGACTTAGTAAGAGACCGCTCTGGTCGTGAGGCCGAGCGCGACAAGCGATCTTCAGGCAAGGCTGGGAGTCCGCGAGAGGGTGACTGGGGCATAGTAGGCACAGGTACTGATTGCAGCCGGCGGATGTACCACGATTTGAAGCTGTCAACGTCGAGCCATGAGACAGCATTATCGACTGTGTATGAGTCGATGGGGTCGAGGAGTAGCCTCCCGCGGAAAGTCTACAGCACAGAAGTCAGCAGGTTGAGGGGCCAGTATACTCGTATTTGCACTTACAAAGTCTCGGTAGGCAACGATATCCTCTGCTGCAGCACGACGGACTATGTCACGGACTCTAGCAGCATTCTTCGCTTCGAAGTCAGGGCTGGCGTCCCGCCCCGACGTGTTTGCACGAAGGAAGCCTATCATCAAGTGGCCTCCGAGTCAGTCGAAAACACGGCGAGTGAAGACTGAACCTCACCGGCTTCACGAGTCTACTTATATACTGCTTCATAACAAAGCCTATCCCTACATAGAAACGGTTGCTAAGGCCACAACCAAGGCCCAGTGGCGATTCATGAATATGAACCGGAGTGTGGCTGCTTAAGATGCCCGCAAGCGTCAATTACCGTATCGGGTCATGCAAGCGCCCAGCGCCATCTGAGATCCATGGCGGCGGGCGGCGGGCTTGGCAGCGGGCTCCTGCCAAGCGACTTCTACTGCCGTGGCGGGCACTTCTACTGTGGTGGTCGGCACTTCTACTGGTAGACCTGAGTGCTACTGTAATTGCTGACTTCTACTCGTCGCGCTCACTTCTACTTCTACAACTCTCGTATATACTCATTTGCCGCACCGCACCGACAGGCAGCGGAACTTGAACGTCGCACGACAGCATAGCCGCAAAGACAATAGCCCGAGAACCCGCGTGTGATCGATGCCGAACACCGTTCCCGGAGCGCGCATACACGCTGTTGTCTTCGCCGTGCATGCAGTATGGCATTCCGTCCGCAGAGTGCAATTGTGTTGATCATGTCACGTGAGTGAGGCGGAACTCTTCCTGACCAGACTGAATCCTCGATTACCCAGGAGAGCTGCAGAGTCAGCGGAAGGCAATTCAACATCACTTAGTACTCGGAGGAGGAGACTACGAGCACGCAGTTGTTTGGGTCACACTCGAGACTTCCGAAAGACAAGACAGCGAAGATTGATGCTCTCTTTCACTGGCAGTATCCTCTTACAGAGGTTCCTATCGGCCACCCAGAGGCTGCATAAAGACTACAATGACGCCCTGCACGATATTGAGCTGAGGCAAATTCGGAATGTTGAGATCAATGTCCCTAACAACATGCGGCGTCCGATGAGACTCTTGTGCAAAGTATGTCAATTTGTAACCCGATTTCCCCCTTCCTCTTCTTCATACAAACACCCGGCTTGCCGAACTACTGATGTATAACTTAGGATTAATCGAGGACAAAGTAAATGCCCAAGGATGGTGTGTGAGCGCCGATTACGAGTGACGCTACTCGCGAAGAAAAAAGTGTGCGGTAACAGGAATGACCGTCTATGACTAGCAAGACTAGTGTCGCGGAACGAGAGCTTGAGTCTGGAGAGGGTTGTCTACGTTAGGCCTGTAAGAAACATCTCGAGTCTACGTGAAGCCCGCTTACCAGAGACTTAGACGATCGTGCACGACCCACTTCCACTCCCATTGGAGGTGTCGTAGTTGACCGGAACTCGTGAGTCTTCGATCTCGGCGGGGACGGGTGCAGCAATATCAAAGAAGGCATCCATCCCTAGTTACGAGGTACGCAGAGCGTGTGGGATGCTGCGGTGAGCTCCAAGATGTACCTCTCGTCGATGTGCTGACTGTCGAATGTGTCCGTAGTCAACAGGAGTGCTTTATATATGCACTTTTGGGGAATAAAACCAGAAGGCGCTATACGATTGGTCTCCCCAGATATCGGAACAGTTCACCATGCGCTGGAGAGACACCTGGTGAGCGATGGTCGTGTATACGTCTTATTGTTCTTGCGGGAATCCTATCGCAAGGGTCTGAGAAGGTCTAGGAGGACGGTGATTGATTGGCATGGATTCCTATAGCGCGCGCTCTGGTACTGTACCGTTGTCGGGTTTATGACGCTCATACTGACTCTGTGCTCAGTGCTCCATGCGGTGCTCAGCGCGAACTCATGGTTCAAGCAACTCACTGAAGTGCTTGTAGCTCTTAGCTACACGGGTTTTTTCACTGGCTTTGGACGAGCGGGGAGCTTTGGGTGAGCGGGGAAGTGGCAGTCTGGGAACCTTGGAGATGAGAGTCACCAATACGGCTGCCGTGTAGGTGAGCACACGTTCGGACTCTCGAATACAGCTAGCGCGCCTCGTGCACAATAGAAAAGGACACGCTGTGTTTCTATACGGACCGCGGTGCGTCTCTGGCAGTACAAATCCTCTATATCCGGCTGGCGTTATTGTTATGCGCGGGTCATGTGACCGCGTCTGGGTAAGGATCGCGTTCTAACTTCTCATCGTCGAGGACCGCGATTACACAACACGGTATGTCCGCGACAGATAGCACCATTAGCATGAATGGAGAACCACATGTGCGCGCGTTGGCATCATGGTATAGCTCCCGAGCTAACCTGGCTATACACCGACTCGGAGCCTGAATGCACTAGCAGCGACAGGTATTCGTGTCTAGATGATTGCAATGCAAGTCTATTATTCAACTGTGTTCTATACTCTATCTGCCAATGTGCCACATTCTCTACATTCCCTTTGCGATGGTGCTATTGTCGAGTCACTCACATGTACACTCATAGGCTGTCCAGTTGGTTCAGCAAGCTCCTGACTTACGAATGCGTGCCGAGGTTCGGAATGGGAGGCAGGAGATATCTACTCTACAAGAGGCGTCGATAATTTTCACACGGCAGACAATTGGACGAGACAAAGATGACATCTCATTGGCTGAGAGACGAACACCGAGCGCTGCCCGACCTCTTGAGTCTGACGCGGCGCCCTCAGCCACTGTGCGTTCCTCCTCTGCAAGCTCGGAGGCCCTCGCTCCACACGTTCTGCACAGCGGACACTTTTTCCATATCCATGCAGATGGCTTGAATTTACTTATGCCGCTACACTGCCGTCCTTTGCCCGCCTTCGCCACAATAACTCGGCACAAATGGCAGCTATACCACCGCCTGTCAATACTCCATGGAGTGCGCGTCGGCGTGAGGATCGTCAAGCGCAGGAGATGATGAGCCCGACTAGGGATTGCAGTGAAGGCCAAGGTATGCCAGTCATATTCTCACACTGTACTATCCTCTTAGTGAGCGCTTGAGCGACCGGATGACAGGACACACAAGCAGGTTAGGTCGTCCGAGATGCAGGCTCCCGCATACAGATTAGAGGGAAGTAGCCGGAATGTACGTCTTTCTTCCCAGTGGTCTGAAGCACCGGAGTTGACCTTCCCCAGGGTGCAGTCGCCGTGGTGACATGAAACGCGATGCGCACGCCGAGCGCGAGCGCGCCGGGCGAACGCCCAGCACGCAGACACGGCCGACGAACGCGCATGGAGCCAGTGGACAGGCGGGCGAGCTGGTGCGCAGGTGGGCACACGTGGATGGGCGGGAGAGCGAGCGGGCGGGAGAGCGGGCGGGCGGGAGAGCGGGCGGGCGGGAGAGCGGGCGGGCGGGAGAGCGGGCGGGCGGCAGGCGACAGCGCACACGTCCACCGCCGCCCGTGAGCGTGGTGGCCGAACACCCAGTGCACGCAGACGCGGCCGACGAACGTGAACGCAGGCATGCGAGCGGGCAGACAAGTGGGCCACGACATGCACAGCGAGGGCGAGAGCGAGGGGCTGGCGGGCGTGACGTGCAGCAACACAAACTTCAACAGTACAGGCACAAGACGCACAACGACCACGAGCATGCAGGGCCAATGCCCTGCGTGCAGACACAGCCGACGAACGGATGGTGTGCGCGAGAGCTAAAGAAGGGCATCGGGGAAAGGTGAGTGCAGACGCACGCGAGCGAGCGCGCTGACTGCAGTCACAGGGCGCGGCGACGTGAAGCACGGCGGGTGACGGCGCGCACGTCAGAGCGCACCGGGCGAATGCACGTCACGCAAACACGACCGATGAACGGACCACCCGCCGCGTGTGAGCGAAGAACGCGCAAGGGCGAGTAGACGGTGGGCGCACGGCAACACCACCAACCACTAGCGCGCAGGGCAGAGGTCCCCTGTGCATGCGCGGCCGATGAGCGGACCACAGGTGCGAGCATAGCGGCGAGCAGGAGGAGAATGGGTGGAGGGTGAGTGCGGAACCGAGTGGGTGTGGACGCGAGCGAGCGGATGGTGGGCAGACCCCACGCGCTGAGCAAAAGACCAGCAACGGCGACGTTGTTGGGCAGGCCGGCGCACGCGCAGCACACCGACCGCGAGCATGGAGGGCGAATGCCCAGTACGCAGACACGGCCGATGAACGCGCACGCAGGCAGACGAGTGGACGGGCGAGCGGGCACACAATCGGTCGGGCGAGCGGGCACACGACCGGACGATGACACACGCATGGCGACCGCGAACTCGCAGGGCGAGCACGCAAGCCCCGCCGACGAAGGGACTGCGCGAGCGTGAGCGAATGGCAGGGTCGGGGCATGCGCAATGCGCCGACTGCGAACGCACAGGGTGCCCCGCATGCCAACACAGCCGACGAGGGCGCCGTGGGTACAGCGAGCAGGCGGGAGTGCGTGAGGATGGCGCGTGAGGGGCGAAGACGGAGGACGGGGAGGACGGCGGGTGCAGGCAACAAGCCCAAACCCGCGCAGATACTGCCGAGGTAAGTCAACCAGCGGTCCACTGTCGACACCGGCGGTGAACCCGGGCAGGGTATGGGTGCGTAGGTCGCGGGTCGCGGGTGCGGTATGCGCCCTGCGCTCCCGCGGTGCTACCCGTGCCCATCCTGGCCCCGTTCACTAGCACTAGCCATAGTTTGGATAAAAGACGACTTGATCGTAAACGTGCTATGGAATCCGTACTTACATCAATGTTGACTAAACTATTGCAAGCAGAAAAATGCTCGATGAGGCCACGAAGCCGACTCCCGAAGGGAGGTGGCTGAGTGGCCTTTGCGTACAACGTATACGTCTTCGCGCACAGCAGTACTGGCATATGACTGTTGTGTAGTATAGCTTTGAAGCTGACTCCCCGTGCGGCCGAAGGAGGCGGCTGACTTGGAGTGGCCTTCGTACCTCTTCAACGCGCATAGCACTACTGGCATGCAATCATTGATAACCTCCAGTCCGTAGCGGAGCACGGGTTTCCGCTAGTTATCCATTAGTTGAGTCCCGGAGCGAGATGTGTAGGGAGTTAGGTAAGGAGCATACGACGGCCGCGATACACATTACGGAAAAAGAACGGAGGATCGGCTGGGCGATAGAATATTAGAGGCTACAGCTCGGGTTGGTATGCATACTAGTCAGACAGCAGGGAGCGATAAGGGCGATACAACATGGACAAGTAAGGACACAAACACACATCGGTGGCATACTGCCACTCCATAACTTACGCGCCACAGGACCGGCAATAATACATATGATACAGCCAATATCTCACCATCGCACTCCCCTCTTCCTTTGGCCCAGCATCGTTTAAACGACGGCCTTGGGGAGAACGTTACGCAGTGGTGGCACCAGCACGACCATGATCCTCACGCTCGCGCGGTATGGCCATAGCAGGATCGTCTGCGCGCACTCGAGTACCCACTGGTGGAACGACACCGGCGCCGCTTGAGCCGCTCGCTTGCGCGCCGCCGAGCTGCCCCCGCTATGGCTCCGACTGCGACTGCGGCTGCCGCTCTTGCTCCGGACACGGCGGGCTTTGTGATGCGCGTCGTTCGCCGTCGAGTGGTGGTCCTTCTCGTTATCGGTAACGTACGTCCCCTCGGAGTCGGCGTCGCCTTCGCCGTTCAGCTCGGCTTCCCCGTCGGAGAGTGCAGACTCGGGGATGGTCGGCAGGCTGGGGTCGGGGGCGCCGCTCGAGGATAGCCTGTGATGCGCGGTCCCATTTGAGCTTCGTGATGTACTCTGGGAAGAGGGCAGTGACGATGGCGAGCTTCCGCCAACCAACTTCTCAAGCGGTGTGTCTGGCGCGCCCAGCGACCATACCGTCTTCGGCAGACGCACGACCCCAACAAAAAAGGCGCGGACATGACTCCAAACACGTCGGTACGCTCGCTCGTAGGCCGGGGCAACATAGCCACGCCGGAAGGCGTCGATGTCCATCCGCCTATTCTGCTCAACCTGTAGCAGGCCCTTCTCCAGCGCCAGCACGCGGGCAGCCAGCGCCATCCGCGCCATCTCGGTCTTGCGCTCGCTGCGCTTTGCGTCTCGCTCGACCTCGCCGAGAGCCTCGCTGAGGTCGTCGCACACTTCCTGGAGCCGGCCGGCGAGCGTCGTGCGTGCATTGAGTTCCTGTACTTCGCGGTCGAGGATGTCGAGTCGTTTGAGGAGCATAGCGTTGACGGTGACGTCCTCCGTTTCGTGCTTCTCGGGCGGGTAGTGGATGGCATCGTGTAGCGCTTCGGTATGTCCTTGTATGCGGGAGATAAGGTGCGTCCATGGTCGGATGCCAGTCGCGAGCACGAAGAGCGTCGTGCTGAACCAAGAGAGCGACTCTGTCTCCCCGATGGCCGACAGGACATGCTTCAAGAAAGTGGCACCAAGTAGGGGGGATACGCCGGTGACACAGAGTAGGAACAGCTCCTGCCGCCGTAACTCTGTCGCAGCAAGCTTGGTGACACGGTCGGGTTCTCCGGCGCGCATGCCCGACTTGCGAGATCGCGAGGCTTGGTAGAGCTTCCAAGGAACTGAAAGAACAATTCAGTTAACGAAACTTGACATAAGCAAGGATAATGCGCACCTTCGATGAGCTGGTGGAGATAGAATATGAGGAGTATGATGAGGAACAGGTTCTTGATGTGATCCCCTCCGGTGAGCCAGTTCCCAATGGGAGACACGCAAGCGACGATAATCGAGAGGTCCAAGTCGGCCCATGACGTTCCCGACCGCTCACGCGAGTACGGGGTGCTGCGAGGACTCGGGATCTGCGGCCGGGGCAGCGGCGGAACTGCTGTTCCCTTTCCCTTTCCCTTCACCGTCGCGTAGGCAATCTCCTCCTCACTCTCATGTTCGCTTTCGTCGTCTTCATCGTAGTCCGAGTCGTCTTCTTGCAACACAGCCCCTCCAGACCTCGTCGGCGAAGAAGGACTGCGTCCGGAGTGTCCGTTTGGCGTCCTTGCACGCTGAGAGGGACCCGCCTGCGCAGCTTGCGTCGCCATTGTAGTTCAGAGAGATGAGATGAAGTGAATGGAAGAGAGAGGAGGAGAGTGCCAGTGTCGGCGCGTGGAGTGAGCGAGGCTGCTTCAAGGCCGTAGGCTCCGTTCCGCCTTGCTGGATCAGTCACTTCCGCAGCTCCTGCGTGTTCGCCGCATGTAAACGAGCCCTTTTTTGTGTAAACTTAGCGGCCATGGACAGAACACACCAGTTGGACTTACGTTCGGAGAGATGGTGATTGTCGGCGGCAAAGGTGGCAGGACGCGCTCACGCCGTCACGCCACGAAATGGCAGTCGCATGACGCGCGCCGGCAATAGCGGCGATAATATCCGCCGTCAAATTCGTAGTCTAATTGAACCTCCAGTGATGGAAGTCATCGTAGTACAGTAGTAGTACGTACGAATCAGACATGCATGATAGATGTTACAATAAGAGCTACACTGCAGTGTCTGTCGTGAACACCGTATAAATAACCATAAGAGTCTGTCATCCACTGCTCTCTGTGAGCAGCAAGTTCGTAAAGCGAGAGAAGTCGAAGTCCGATGAGGGAGTGTATGGCGCGTCTTGAAGCTTGAAGCTTGACCCCTTGACAGTGGTCCATGAGACGCATGGATACCAAAGCAGTGATCAACGCGCATGTTGGAAAGAGGATGTAGATAAGGGCAGAAAGTGGCAAGGACTGGCGACAATCTGCATTGCGGTTAGATACCACGAGAAGAGGGTAGCGATGATACATACTTACCAGAGTCGAAGACAATTATGCGACAATGCACATTTGGGCCACGATCTGCCCGTTCGAGCATGTCTCGGCGTGATGCTCGAAGTCCTTGAGGATATCCTCCTGCGCGTCCCGTGGCATGATGGCGTACTCTGCGCCCACAGGCTCGGGCGGAGAGAGGACGAAGAAGTCGTCCATGGCTTGTGCTAAACGCACTCGCACTGAAGGTGATGAAGGGAGAAGAAGGGAGTTCCTCGGCGACCCGCGCGCTATTTGTTCGTCTATATATGTCGTTTGGAGAAGGCTGAAGCTGCACTGTGTCAGGGGCGTTCTGTACGTTTTATACCACAATGGTGCTGCACCTACAAGAATTAGGAGATGTCGTCAAGCGCACAGCGCAATGTGTCCTATGACCTGCGGCAGCGACAAGAGAGCGCGATAGGAGAGGGGGAAGTGCAGCACGGAGCTTGCTGTGCAGCGCAAGTCATGACGACGGCCACAACTCGTCCACGCACCACAGCCAAAGCCCCCGGCGATTCAGAGTCAACAACAGGATTCGTGGAGCACATTACCAATTCAGACACGAAGCGATGACCGAAAGAGAACGACAATTGGGAGCGTGGTCGGCAGGCCGCTTCGGGCTGGCGCGTGCGACGGCGAGGTTGGGATGATACGCCGGCAGCCTCACGCATGGGTACGGAACTTGAGTCATGAGACGGAAATGGGAAGAACTTGATCGGATGGCGGGGATGGGTGTTCTGCGCGGATCAGTATCGAGATGCGTAGACAAAAGGAGGGAACAATATCTAGTCGACTGCGTCACTAGATTCACAGCCAGATAGGCTGCCGCAGGTACTATACCGCCGGTACGGGGCCACAGGATGTGGTTCGTGTCTCCGGACACCTGTACAGCTCGTCTTCATCGCCAACGCAGACCGTGCGGAGAAGAATGGCACCGTCGGCAATCCACTGAACGCAGCCTTTCTGCCGCCAGACACGGAGGCCACGAAGATGATGCATCTTACCGGTATTCGGAAGATTAAAGCAGCTCATTAGCGGGACATCGCGGGCTAACCACTGCATCTAGCTCACGGAACAGTTGCTGTGAATTCACTGGCAAGTTAACAGTGAGCCGTGGCATGCAAATTCTCGACCACTTTTGCATTTTACCTTACTACACCTTCAAGGTTACTACGTTCATTGTGAACGTGAGGTGGTTCAAAGGACCACGCATCGACCTGCGGAAATGAGTGGACGTGCATTTTGAGAAGTGATCAAAGTCCACCAGAAGGTGTGGCCGGGCGTCTATTAAATAGTATCCCGAAGCGGAAGCAGCGGTGAAGGACAATAAGCACTTTAGCGCCGGCGGGGCGAAGGCGCTCCCCAAGCGCTCCCGCAAGACAAAAGAACGGTGACAGTCATATACTGCACCCTCCTCCTCGCCATCCTCCTCCCTCCCCTTCCTCCCGCCACGACCGATCGGTCTCTCGAGCTCGACGGATCGTACCAGACTATGCCGACGACGATATCGGACGACAGCGCGTGCTCGCCGCCGTCCGCTGTTTTCTTGGGGATAGCCCTGTGTTCAGCGGGTGGCTATGTTCTTGTCTCTTGGACTTGACGATGCATCGAAACAGTTGCTCCTACACTCTTGGACCACAGGGCAGTGAGACGAAAACAATAACACAGTTCGCGCCGAGGCGCGGTGAGTGTTGTTGCCCACTGCCGTCACCGGATGTTATGCTCACTGACCTCAGTGCGATGGCATCTACCCAGGTCGACGACGGGTAGTGGCAGTACCATTATCCACCCTCGACGACGGAGAGCTTCAGCCATTCGAGACGTCTCATTGCACTCCATACTGCGTGCCGCCCCGACTTGGCGAAAGGTAAGTGTTGTACTTGTTATCGTCGGCCCCCGCTTAGCCTCAGTCTGAAATTGGCTTGTCTTTCTGAACCTCATGCGCGGCTCATCCAAATTGACCTCGTGAATGCGTTCGCGATTTGCAATTGCAATGGACTCAACGCCAACACCTCTATGCATACCATCATTGTGTCGATTGTCGCTGACGCAGGCTTTGGCTAACGACTTATTGCTTCGGCTCTGCGTCCTTCTATTGACTTCGTGCACTGAGGTTGTTAGAACTACACTTCGGCTGCTGATCTGGTTCATTTAGACAGTCCTGCCAATCATCATGTCCCATCTCCACCGACACAGCGTAATCTGGGTCCAAGACCCACCCTACTGGGAATCACTCAGGCGTCCTTGGCAATATTGGCACCATGTCAACTTGGTCTCTACGCTGCCTCTTGTGCTCTGCGAATCCAACCTAGCTGGTTGAGTATTCCCCTTGTCCTTTCGTACCGGACTTCGCACTGCGGTATTCGTCCTTCGTTCACGTGACAACAGACGCGTCGCTAGGTCTCCCGAGGAATCCAAACAAGGAGAGGCTGGAACACCACCATCTCGTGCTCAAGAGACTTCTAGTTCTGGTCCGGAATTCGCATTCGATGTATGCCTTTCTGCTCGTGCCTGCTGATTAGACGCGTTATCGCTGGAGCTCCTCCCACAGTCTCGGTACTGGACCGTGAACTCCTTCCTGGTACTCTCGTTGATGTCTCAAACCTTCGCTGATTTACCTCTGCCTGCGACTTTGTTCGAAACCTCCAACTCAGTTTTCCGTCAAGACGACGACCGGCCTGTTGCTGCATCAAATTGGGGACTCGCGTCGCTGGCAATGCGTCTTCGACAGAACGACTTCTCCGCATCCCGTTTTGGAGTTCCCATTCGCACCTCTTTGGTTAGCGGCTGGGCATCTCGGCTTGATGCTCCAGACGGCGCTCGTGGCTCGTGCCCGCGTAGCCGAGCCATGTGCCCTCATGTGGTGCCTGCCGGGATCTGCCTCCGTGGCTTCATCAAACGGTCCCAATCCGGAAGCAAGACAAGGTAACGTCTATATCAGGCAATCCGTGAGAAGCATCGTCAACCTCCGCGAGCATGGTGATGGCGCTCAGATGCCAGCCGACGCACAAGCAACCATCCGAATACGTACACAAGGGCAGAGAGCGTGGTGAAGTATTTCATGGACGCGCTGGCGAGGACTGCCCTCCAGCAATCACCCATCTGTGCATTGCCGCAGTCGCCCGCCCTCCTCCCTGCAGGCTTCCAAGTCTCCGCCCGTCCGGCGTCTTCTGTGCTACCTCTCTTCACCGCGTTTACCCTCGGAGATCTTTACGCGATGGACGCACAACTGGCGTCGTGGTCAGCGCAGCAACTTGCTGCCACCGCTCTCTCCTTCATCGGGTTTGTTCTGGTTAGCATTCCCCTCTACTGGCACTTGGAAGGTACGTGACCGCTTCGCTATCTCATTACGTCGGGCTCACAAAGTGACGACAGCCTGGAACGTTGGCTGCGTTCTCTACATCTTCTGGTGCGGCACCCAGTGCCTCATCCAGTTCATCAACATGACCATCTGGCGGGACAACGTTATCGTCTGGGTCCCTGTCTGGTGCGACATCGTCACCCGCTTCCGCCTCGCCTCCAGCATCGGCATCTGCACGGCTTCGCTCATCATCAACCGTCGTCTGTACAAGATCGCGACCATTTCCACGGTGTCGATGACGAACAGCGACAAGCGGCGGATGATTTGGGTGGATCTCGCCATCGGTCTAATTCCCTCTATCGTGGTCGTTGCACTGTGTGAGTTCCTATCGACGCTCGGTCTGTTGTGCCTACTGACGCGTCGACCGATCCAGTCTGGTTCATTCAAGGCCACCGCTTCGATATCTACGAGGGTTATGGGTGCACATTCGAGATCGCGAACACCATCCTCTCCTACTTCCTGCTCACCTCGTGGCCGATCGTCATCGGCTGCATCTCCGCCGTCTACTGCTTTTTCACGCTGCGCGCGTTCTTCAGGCGTCGCAAGCAGTTCAACGAGCTCATGTCGAGCAACAAGAACCTGACGTTCCACCGGTACCTCCGGCTCATGGGTCTGGCAGGCATCGAGATCGCGTGCACGGTCCCGCTCGCGTCGTGGAACCTGTACATGCAGTCGCGCAACCCGCTGTACGTATGGAAGGGCCTCGGCGACCTGCACTACGACTTCTCGCGCGTGGACCAGTTCCCTGCGATCCTCTGGCTCAACAACGAGTTCACGAAGCCGGCGATCATCTTCGACATCTGGGACATCATCATCTGTGCGTTCATCTTCTTCGCGTTCTTCGGCTGCGCGGAGGAGGCGCGGAAGCACTACTCGATAGCTGCGACGACCATGGCGAAGCGCGTCGGTCTATCGACGAGCTGGCTGTCGCGCTCCACTGCCAACGGCTCCTATGGGTACGTTCCTTGCGTATGTTTGCGCTAGCACGAAGCTGACAGTTGCCTCAGTTACAACACGTCGAAGCCGACGGCGAGCGCACTGGGCCGTATCACGATCCCGACGTTCGTGCAGCACAAGCGGCGCAACTCGCTCGATTCGTTCTCCGACCGCCTGTCGACGTCTATCTCCATCGGGGAGGAAACGCCCGTCGACGACCTCAAGGTGCCGTACTCTCCGTCGGAGCACTCCGCGGGCTCGAGCACGTACGTCCCGTCGCCGATGTCCGCGAAGAGCGCCGAAAAGGCACACACGTTCGTGTTCCCGCCGCCGCCATCGCCGCCCGCCCGCGTGCACGATCCTGCGTCGCCGACGCGCGCTGCCCCGCCGGACGTGCCCGCGTCCGTGCACGACAACACCTTCGACATAGTCTGAGGTTTAGAGACCTTCAATATCCCCTGTGACCTGGACAAAACCCGCAAGATTATCCCACCCCCCTCCCACCGTGTATCTCCTGTTGGATTTTCGCTCGTTGTTGTTGCCATCACCTACTGTCACCGTTATCACCTGGGTTCGTCCTCCGCTTCACACTGTATTGTTAGCTCTTTGTACCTCACTCCACGACGCCGCCGGCTCCCATATCCCTTTGCGGCTACTAATGATATTCGTATGTATCATTACTTTAGCACCGCCGCCCTTGACGCGAGTGTATTACACGTTACCTCATGCTACCCAATAGATATGCTTGACCTTACAAAGTCGAACGCGCCGTTGTTCGGCCGTGCGCCTGCGAGACACTGACAGTGCCTGATACCCATCGATGAGACACGGCAAGGCGTTCAATTTCCCAAGCTCTTGCGCACCCGCATGGTCGGGCGACCGTCTTTGGGCCGTAAGTCCCAGTCAGCGGTGGTAATCACCTGTACGATCTGAGCTCGTCAGCATTCCGATAGCCCTCGCTGGTTTCTTTCTAGCGCGAGGTGGTGTTAAAGTGGGAGTGTGTCACCCACGGACGCGAGTTAGCTCCTCGGATCCCAAGTCGGACGATTCCTCCACCTTCCAGATACCGTTGCGTGCAAGACTCACGCCGTTGACGGTCGGACATAAAGCTCTTTCACAGCTCTTCATCGTACCACCACCATGTCGACTCGAATCCCCTCGGCGAACGAGCCTACGCGATCCTCTGACGACGTGGAGAAGAAGGATGCTGTTGCCCTCACGGAGTCTCTTTCGCGGGACCCATATCCTCATGCGTACGCCGAAGAGGACCTCTTTGAAGAGGGAGCCGTGGACGCTGTCTATCAAGCGAAGGCACGCGTACTGAACGCTGCTGTGCGGGAGATTGGAATGGGAAGATACCAGGTCCGTGGCAGTATGATCTTGTCGAGGAGGGACCGGGTGTTGACTTGTTTGAACCAGTGGTATCTCTTTGTGGTTGCTGGTTTCGGCTGGTTCTCGTACGTCGCGGTTGTCGGACTACTCTTCTGGTCTGTATTCTGACCCCCAATTTCCCGACACAGAGATAGCGTTTGGCCAGTGAGTTGCATAGGTGCCTCTTTGCGACGATCCGCGCCTTACCGCGATGATATGGTGTATCAGCTTGTGGCAGGTCTCATACTCAATCCTGTCATCGCAGAATTCCAAGTCGACAGCCAATGGTTGTCCTTGGCATTGAATATTGGTCTATTCGCCGGTGCGGTGTTCTGGGCTTTGGGGTGTGATATTTGGGGGCGTAGGTACGCAGTGCGCTTACACTTCGAGATCATCGGTCGTGGTGTATTTACTGATTGTGGACCCCAGGTGGCCATTCAACTTCACGTTGTTCATCGCCGGTGTATTCGGTCTGGCAGCCGGAGGCGCTCCCAACTTCGTCACCTTAGCCTCCTTGTTTGCTGTCGTAGGGTTTGGCGTGGGCGGTAACATGCCCGTCGACTCTGCTGTGTTCCTCGGTGAGCTGAGAGGGCAAGTGCTTGTACCGACAAGCGAGCTGACTTATTTCGTTAGACTTCGTGCCGGGAAGCCACCAGTACCTACTGACTATCCTATCCATTTGGTGGGCAATTGGCCAGTTGGTTGCGAGCTTGGTATGGGAGATTGCCTGCCTGGTCTCATTCTGTCGTCACTGACGATGCCGTAGATCGCCTGGCCGCTTATTTCCAACATATCATGCCCCGAGACTGCAACGACCTGCACCAAGTCCGAGAACATGGGATGGCGGTATCTCCTGTTCACCTTGGAGGCATGACGCTTGTTCTTTGGGCCATCCGCTTCTTCGCGTTCAACCTCGAGGAGAGCCCGCGGTATCTCGTCGGTCGCGGTCGCGACGCCGACGCCGTTGCCGTCATTCACAGAATCGCTGCCTATAACGGGCGCTCGTCTAGCTTGACCGTGGAGCAGCTCGCGGCGGCCGGAGAGCGCGCTGTGGAGGCGAACAAGGCTGCTGCAGGTGCAGCTGGCCTGCCCACACTATTGAGCGGAACCTCAGTATGGACGACGTACCACATCAGGAGCTTGTTCAAGACCGCGAAGCTTGCATGGTCAACTAGTCTGTTGATTGTAATTTGGGGCATTATCGGTCTTGCGTCCACGTTGTACAACAGCTTCCTGCCTACATGTACGTCTTCTCCTTTTCGCAGTGATGGCTGGCTCACAGTTTGACCGCTAGTCTCGCACACCGCGACGCCAATTACGGAGACAGTTCATACTACACGACCTACCGTCAAGAGTCATACTCGGCGCGATCGGTGTGCCAAGCGCGCTGATTGCTGGGTGGGCGGTCGAGCTTCCCGTATCGGACGGAAGGGTACTCTGGCATCTCCTCGGGCAAGTATTCATTACTGACAATGGGTGACATTATTCAACGACCCCTCGCGAAAGACAGGGCTCACTGGTGTCTTTCTCTTTGCGAGCACCACCTCCCACAGCTCAAATGCGCTGTTGGGATGGAACTGCGGGTGAGTAAGGCGTGCTTTCGTGTGGAACTGCCAGAGCTCATGAGACTGGGCGCGATGCGTAGGTACGCCTTTGCAAGTAACGTGAGTAGACAAAGTCACAAGGCAGAGGGAGGACTGAACATCGCACTTGCAGATCATGTATGGTGTCTTGTATGCTATATCGCCTGAGGTGTTCCCTGCGAAAGACCGAGGTACAGGTAACGGCCTGACAGCCACTGCGACTCGCGTCTTCGGGATCATAGTCAGTCAAGTCCCTTCTCAGCCTGACAGTAGCGGCTGACGACGTTCGCAGGCTCCCAGTGATAGCGATGTACGCCAACCTCGAGACAGCGGCGCCCGTGTATGTTTCGGGCGCCTGATCATAGGCAGCGGAGCTCTGGTGCTCCTTCTACCCTATGAACCTAGGGGGCGGACGTCCAGCTGAGCTAATCCGTGGAAAGGTAGGTATGTTAGACTGGTTTGGTACGAGTAGTCACTTCGTGATAAAAGCAATGGTTCTTCTTGGTGCTGTAGCCGTACTTCTTGTTGTTTTTGTAGAATGGTATAGGCTCAATGTTATGACTGTAATGAGCTCCCCTCCTCATCTGGCATGTGAATTGAATGCTTGTACTAACGCAGCCATCATGGTAAGTCGTTAAACTCGGACTGCGAGGAGAGCCCACTGACCATTTCAACATAGGAGATTACGCGCCCGGACTGGTGCTTTCTGGGGTTGAACAGCCAAATATAGCACCAACGAGA